ACCAACCAGAAGGCGTGACACTGCAGGGCCTGGGGCCCTAACTACCCAGCAAGCAGTGCCAATAAGAGAGGTGTGGGGTTTGAACAGTTCTGCTAAAATGACAATTTTTGGGAAAACTGGGGAAATTTGAATATTGACCAAATATTAGGTAAGGTGAACATTTCTTGGCAAGGACAGGTGGAGAATGTTAGCAGAAACTTACACATAGCACGCATGGTATGGTCTCACTTTTGAAAAAATAATTATGCATACACGCACTCAGAAAAAGATCTGGAAGAATACACAGTAAGGTCTTAAGAGTGATATTCACCAGCTGATAGGAAATTTTCCCCATTTTTTATTGTTGATGTTTTCTCAGATGTGCTTTAAATTTTTCGTTATTCTTGGCTGAATGCGGTGGCTCATGCCTATAACCCCAGCATTTTGGGAAGCCGAGGCAGGCAGATCACGAGGTCGAGAGATCGAGACCATCCTGGCCAACATGGTGAAACCCCATATCTACTAAAAATACAAAAATCAGCCAGGCGAGATGGTGAGCCTGTAGTCCCAGCTACTCAGGAGGCTGAGGCAGGAGACTCGCTTGAACCCGGGAGGCGGAGGTTGCAATGAGCTCAGATCATGCCACTGCACTCCAGCTCTGGTGACAGTGCAAGACTCTATCTCGGAAAAAAAAAAATCATTATTCTTAATTTTCTTATTTTTTTCCAATTTCTACAATTCTTATATTGCTCCTGTTGTAGTAGAACGTTATATTATTATTTGAGACAGAGTCTCGCTCTGTTGCCCAGGCTGGAGTACAGTGACGCCATCTCGGCTCACTGCAACCTCCGCTTCCAGGTTCGAGCAGTTCTCCTGCCTCAGCCTCCTGAGTAGCTGGGAGTGCAGGTGCACAGCACCATGCCCGTCTCATTTTTGTGTTTTTTGTAGAGATGGGGTTTCACCATGTTGACCAGGCTGGCCTCAAGTTCCTGACCTCATGATCCGTCTGCCTCGGTCTCCCAAAGTGCTGGGATTACAGGCGTGAGCCACCACGCCCGGGCAGAAAGTTATTTTTAACTTAAAAATGTTTAATAAGAAACTGCCACCCTTCAAGGTGACAATACGGGGCCGCGGGGGACAGGCATGAGGTGGTGGCCACTGAGGAGAGGAGCCTTAGTCTTACAGGGACAGGACAGGAAGACCCAGCCTCTCTTCTCCTTGGCTCCCTGTTGCGGATAAGAACTCTCTTATCTGAGTTCCGCACATGATCCAGAAAGTGCTGATAAGTGCATAGCAAAAAAGTCAACTCTGGAGATGATCAGTGATTAAAAAAAGAAAAAAAACCCCAGGCCGGTTTCCCCTCAGCAGAGTCCACGGCTGCCCCACTACCTCTTTCACTGAAAATCTGACTTCATTTAAATAGTTTGTAAGAAACCCAGAATTTGAAAGCTAGAGTTGTCCATGTGGACCGGTCCTTCCTGCTTTTCACCTGGGGCCCTCTTGGGGCTGCCCCTAGATCTAGGAGGAGCATCTCAGGGGTGAGAGCCGGAGGATTTGGAAATAGGGGAGGCTGAATTAAACTTCACTTTAACCTGGGAGGGACGAGGGCCTGGGGAAACTCCAACTTCTCTGAGCCTTGTTTTCTCATCTTCCAAAAGGGTAGAACAATCCCTATGCCTCCCCCTCCATATTTTAGCTTCTCAGAAGAGACGTGCTATGGCTGGCTGTGGCTTAGTTCTTTGTGGGAGTGTGGATGTGGGGTGGGGTGAGGTGGAAAGGCTGCTTTTCTGTTTAATGGCATTTACACTCTGGACGAAGCCACTAATGGGCACCCCCACCACCTCCCCCAACCCCCACTGTGTTCCAGGCTCTCCCACCCCCATTCCTAGGCCTGGTTCTGCCTCTATCCTTCTGCCCATCCCCATTCCTCTCTGGATCAGGCTTACACCTGTGCAGAAGGGAGAGGACATTTGCATTTTTCTTAGCCAGACAAGCTTGATGGGGCCACTTCCTTGTTCCCTTGAAACAGCTACAAAGCCAGGTACTGTGGCTCATGCTTGTAATCCCAGCACTTTGGGAGGCCAAGGTGGGCGGATCACTTGAGGTCAGGAGTTCGAGATCAGCCTGTCCAACATGGTGAAACACCATCTCTACTGAAAATATAAAAAAATTAGCCAGGCATGGTGGCATGCACCTGTAATCCCAGCTAGTCGGGAGACTGAGGCAGGAGAATTGCTTGAATCTGGGATGTGGAGGTTGCGGTGAGCTGAGATCATGCCACTGCACTCCAGCCTGG